AACAACACATTTCAAATTCATACAGTTGAGATTTGGTGTGCTAGAAGCACGTGTTATCGGTCCACTTTTTGCTTGCATTGGTTGTCCACGATTCGAGGATGCTGATTCGTTAGCACGATCTCCATCTCCACTCCCTAAACCAGCTGCTTGAATCATTTCGGATGCTTCCTCTACCTGAGCACGAAGAAGCTCTTCACTAGCAAGTATCGTTATTAGCTGGTGTGGCTGAAGATCCAGCAACATGCCCGTAATTTTGTTGCATAATTGCTACAAATAAATAAATAATGGAAAAAATGAGGCAACATATATATTTAGCAAATAATGACAAAATTTTCATGCACTCGGATATTTGCAATTGTAAATATTAGAATGCATAATTTTCCAAAGAAATTTATAACTTAAACTTTTGTCTCCAAAATTATTGAGTGACTAATCTTTATTTGCTGTTTTTTTTATTAGTAGTTATAAAACAGATAAGACTTGAACCTGCAAAAGACACAGTCTCAGATCTTCTCGGATATTTCTCAAAAATTTTGAAGTCACCACAATTTTCAGAAAATCTTACCGGTCTTATTGCTCGGACTCTTGCCAATAATCTTTCGCCTAATGTTTCTCGTTCAGGTTCCCAGGCTGCTGAAGCTTGAGAGGTTGTCAGATTATCAATATTAGATGGTGCAGCTGACTCACTATCACCTGATGGTTCATTGAGATGCGGTTGATGACGCGAATAATACGAAGGAGAAGAAACAGACAGAGCATATCGACTGAAAATAATATTTTGAGAACGGAATCTTTCATCACTTTCCTTTACTCAGATTGTTATGCTTTCCGACTAGGTTGCCGAACTTGCTTCCAACTTGTATTCACACTTAAATTTTCCATATATAAGCGTTTCTACATTTTACATATAAAACTTATTTTCGAATGACTTACTTTCTCAAACTCCGTCGTCTTCCGGCCATTGACAAACTATTAAGGAGGATTGCACTTCGGTCACGATAACTACCGCGACCGGATCCACGATTGCCTAAAATTTTGGTTCTCTCAATTTTATCAGTTTTGAATATAAATGAATAATCCGTTTCCGTTAGCAAGTATAGCAAATATTTAAAGCTGCACTAGTTTATATGGTCATTTAAAACGCACCCGATGAAGGTGGAACATCACCAGGTAAGCTGCCAAAAGCAGCTAAGACTTGTGTTTCTGTTGGCAAACGTTTCATTGTCAGGAACGCGTCCGCAATCGCTGCATAGAAACTTCTTGCTACACCACTTCCTTCTCCAGGCTCATTTTTGAAAGTAACTTTCACCTGAAACGAAGACGGAACTGGAGCAAAAAAAATTAGGAAAACAATTTTTTGATGTTCAAGATTTAAGTTCAAGTTTGAATGACCATCAGAATTTTATCAAAATACGAATTAATCAAAATTTTTTTAAAAGAAAAAATGATGCTCTCTACAGTAATAAATATTGAGTTGAGAAACCTCAGTTTGAGAAATTTCAACGAAGTGCAAGAAAAATGAACCTTATGGCAAGCAAGAGGAGGTGCATCAGAGTCGTCTTTATTGTTAGCGCTAGCCCACGAAAGATTAACCAATCTCACCGATCTTACTGAATTGAACTCTCGAGGGGAATCCGTACTGTTACTCTGTGTTGAATTAACTGACGACGAACTGCTAACACGACGGGAATAATGCACGTTTAATTGACGTATTGTCTGTGCAATCATTTGATGCTTGTCTCGCTCGATCTAAAGATATGTGTAAAATGTGAAAAGTGAAAGAATTTGTTTTTAAATGCAGTCAGCTGTTTCATTACTAATGCGTATTTCTCTTCTTAAATGCCTTCCAATCAACCCACCATATAGTTCTTCATACAGTCCAACTAGACTCTTCATCTTAATAGGGATAACTAACCACGTAATGCACAAACAGTTTGAGAAACTTCAAACAATTAAGCTATCTAGTCATCTATTAACTAAACGTTCTAATCAATGCACTTGCAGCCACGGATGCATCATGCAGAAAAATGGTGTCATGAATCTATATCATGGTTATATATGATGGCGAAAATGATTATAATCTCATCACTGTCCAAACTTTACCTAGCTAATCACTTCTGCATTAAGATAAAGGATTCAAAAAACTCGGTTTCATGCTCTTCGAATGAATTCGAGACTTGTTGTTTCAAAGTATAATTCCTTTACTCCTTTCATCTGTTGCTGGGAAGTGAGTAAACACTTCTTGATTTGATTCTTTATTTATATGCAAACAAACCTCGAAAACAATATCCTTGCTTTGTGCAGCTTTGAATTTTTCCATCTTCTTACGGAACTGTGCTTCACGCACCAAAAAACCGGCCATTTCACTCAAAAGAATTGAACCCGTAACATCACCACCACAAGCGATTAATAGCTGATCGCTAAATGCCTGAAAAATCATCAAGTTTAAGCATGAACCACAAAGTCATCTGGATATCAGTCTCAATTTTTTATTGCTTACTTCGCAAATGAGCAGTAAAATTGCACACAAAAAGTTGTATATGAAACTTCACGTTCAGAAGGAATATAAAATGGATGCAAACTAAGCCCAAACCACATCTGTCAATTATCCAGTACATTTTGAATATGTTTCAAGCGTGTTTACCTTTGCCATCAAATTTAATGTATTCTTCCACCGTGCCAATGATTTGTGCACATAACTTTGATTACTGCGATGTAGTGCACTTTTCAAACTTTCCAACTGTATCGCAACAAAACCACGAGGTGGTGGGACAGTAGATGATGAGCACAGTCGCCGACGTTTCCCTAAAATATAAATCATTAAGCTGAAATAGAGAACATCGAAAAAGTATGTTAATAGTTGAGTCGAAAAATCCCAACCTTGTACTGTTGGCTCATTAGATACGCTCTTCGAATGCACGATTACATTGGGGCGTGAAAGCCCACTTATTGGCATCTCTTTCTCTTCTGCAAGTAAACCAGAATGGACAACTAAATTTGCTGATTTACGAGAATTTTTCTGTTATGTTCAAAGTCTCCGAATGTTAACCTACAGCAAAACAATGGAAGACAAACCACTCGTATTTACAGGAAGCATTTCCTGATAGTTCGACCATGGAGCAACTAACCCTTGATGTGCTGGATGTTTTGCACCGTGTTCTCGAACACTTTTCTATAAGTAATATGCACTGTTCCAAGTATGACATGTTTGAAAACGTTACTAGAGTCTTGAATTCCTTTTTCCATTACATTTTATTTTCTCTATACATTACACGCATTGCCAACTTTATGTCCAAAATATTTGAAAAAAAATCATAGTGAAAATTTAAAATCGTATAATTACCGAAATATCTGGTAGAAAAACATAAAAAGATCAGAAATTAGTAAAGATTTGTATGATACCGACATTAACTTTGCAAAAACAAACCCTGTGCTCACATGTAGTCTTATGCTTTATCGGTAACCCAAACATTTCCTCTTTTTCAATATCTGGTCTCAGAAGCTGTGGGCGCTCGGCTAACGCCAAAGAATCGACACATTTATGCTCAAATGCATGATAATTGGAGGATGACGCAATGCCCGGATAAAGCAGCGAATTGGAACGCTGAAACCAAAATTACAGTTTTAAAATATATATAAATTTTAAGAAAAAAATTTGGACAAGAAAGATTTCCACCATATGATAAAATGAATTAAACACCTGGAAAAAATCAGACATCGGTGCGCCTGCTTGCATGCTTGATTTACCACCGTCAATACCCTATAATCAATATTACTAAGAACAATATTCTGCAGTTTTACATTAAATCAACAGAAAATTGGAATGTAATTCACATAAACCAAAGGAAAAAAAACACAGCCAGAAACTTTTCCCGGTATGTTTTTCAATTCTATATTTAAGCCATTTTTTTTGGCAATAGTAGAGCCCAGAAACTAACGGGAGCTTCATCATTTTGAAACATATCGATAACTTCTTTATCGTTCGCCACATTTTCAGGTGAGTTTAAACCCAGTGCAATCCTAGCGTCTAACTTCTCCAGCATATCAGTTAACGACAAATATGCATCTGCTACAAAAGCTAAAGCCTTCAATGCATTGAACTCGATAATCGGGACATCATCACCATTCTCAGAAGCGTGTGAACGCATCAATGCCGTTACATAGTCAAAGAAATCCTCCAGCGATGCTGTCGAGTCTGAATTTTGTTCATCTGAAATTCTTTCTGCTACAGTTGCAAAGTAGTGGGAAAAAGTAGGAGCAGGCGAAAAAGTTAAAGCTGAAGTCTTAAAGTTAACTCTGAAAATTAATGATATATGAAATTTACCTTTTTTACTGTTTGCAGCCGCAGGTCCAGCGGTGTAATCTTGTCTAGGAACCGGCGTACTTGAATGATTTCCTGACCCAGGTCGAGGGCTATGTCTTCTGTAAAATAAAAGTTGTTACTCCGGATGAATTTAAAAACAGAAAAAGGAAGGGAAGCAAACATACTCCGTATCTCGATCATCACCCTTTTTAGGAGATAATTTCTTCTCTTTACGAAGCACAGTAGCTATAGTTGGTGATGCCATCAGTGCATTTCCAAAACGCAGCTGAGCTTCAGTTCGATCTAGAACTGTTTCCATCCACTGCCATACCACATAAAGGCGCTCTTCAATCAGTCGCTAAATGTAATGAACTACAGAATATGTAAAGGAAATGCATAGCAAAATAACTACTGGCAAAAAGTTTATAAGATGAAAAAATAATGAAATATACCCAGTAAACTTCACTTTCGTTTTCATCCTTCTTATAAATTAGGCTCTTAAATTGTACAACATTTTCCACATACAACTGCTAGCAGAAACTAGAATGAAATCTTACACGGATCGCAACTACAACGGCGTCATTCAACTCCAGCATTTTTGGTATCAGGGTATACGAGCTTTTCACAAACTCTCGATGGTCTACAAGCATTGGCATCAAGTCCACAATCAACCTTAAAAACAATCTCGTTATCAGCTATTGCAGAAACAATTTTATTCATTGGTTTTTTGCCTAAAGATTAGCACAAGATCGAATAAGAAATATAACAAAATTTCAGTAAAAAAAAAAAAAAAAAAATACCACAAATTTCCTCGATAAGAGCAAGGGAGACAAAACCAGTGAATAAAATGACTGTTTACAAATCAACCTTCAACCTGATAATAAGCGAAAATGACAGAGCAAGTTGTTGGTTTGTTTTAGTTACTGAAGTAGCAGCATCTTCTGATGATTCTCGCAGATGTCTTGAATTTGTCAAAGGTACTGAGTTTGACTCTGCAAATCCAAAGCGATTTTAAAAATAAAAATAACACCGTAGTAAAGTATAATCCGAGAAAAGGAATTCTTGAAATAAGATTTAATTTGTGATATTACGGCAAAATCTCACGTAAGCTACATGAAATTCGCGAAATGTTAAGAATTATGGAGCACTGAAACGCCACCCTTTTTCATTATAAATAAACCATAATCGAAATGTTTTACACAATTACTTTACATTCAAAGAAAAAAAAAGACCTCTATTTTCGTTGTCATTACGTCGTGTTGTGGTCGGCTGTTCAACGCTCGAGGTCATCCGACGCATTGCCCACTGCAGAGGTATTGCTAAAACGACAATGATGGTCGAATTAAAAGAGATAAAAGAATTCCTGAAGGTTTTAACTCTGAAGCATTGACAAATGAAAATGACAGTCATATACACGTCCAACAATTTGAAACGATGTACATATAGATCCCACAAAATGAACAAATACGGATGGAAATTTAATCTAATGCCCACAATAAAAAATAATATAAATAGTGTTCAACAGAATAACTTACTGTTATGTCTTCCACTCGTTACACCGGATACTCTTCCCGAGGTGGCATCGCTATTGCGATTTGCACTGTTCGTTTCACTACCTGAAACAGTAATTTCTTTCAGTGAAAAGAAGGGAAATATATATCTGAAATAGGACAAAAATCATATAAATCAAATCTAGAAAAAAATTATACTTCGGACACGCTGTTGCGATGTATTGTTGGAGTCAGGACGTGTTGCTGCATCTTGCTGTTGTTCACCAGGTAAACTACTCGTACCTCGAGAGTTCCGCGATGACTGGTTCTGCAAGAAAATATTGCTGCGACAAAATAGCGATTTATAAGATCCATAACATCCAAACACTAGACCATGTTTCCCGATTAAAAAAGATACTCAGTGTTACAGTAAAAGCAAAAAGTTTCCTGCGCAACTCATCGCTACTTCATAGTGTAGGAAAACTTGTTACTCTTTATAACAATTCTTACGTACAGTACTGGTAAAACACAGGATGTAAGAATTGAAACGAACCGTTCTACGTTCATCAGGTCGTATATGTCGTGATCGTACGTCTGTAAAATTTAAGATATTAAAATGGAAAAGTGCCAGTAGAAAAAAAATCGCAACTAAAAAGCCAAACGCAGTGGGAATGAGACAAAATGGTAACCATATGCTCCATCGCTAGTACCATCACCACTTTCCGGCACATCATCTTCCTCATTTGGCTCCACCTGCATTTCCTCATCCTCACCATCACCATTTCCCTCTTCGTTACCCTCATGTTCTCCTTCTTGCTCATAACGATCATTTTCATTTTCATCACCTTCTTCGTAATTACCTTCGTCTTCTTCATTTCCGAATTCTTGTTCTAAATTTCCGTTACAGAGTTTTCGTTCTGCATCACTTTTCTAATTTAACAAACTAACAACATCAATCACAAATATGGAGAACGTCGAGAAACAAAAGTGATAAAAGAAAATTTACCATCTCCATCATCACCATTCCCATCATCGTCATTATCTTCATCCTCTTCGTCAATGTTAGGATCATTACCCTGACTTGTTGGATCGTCGGCCGGTGAACTAACTGATTCAACTGAGTCATCCTCAGGATCTTCTTCAGACATGCTAAATAGCTCATCACCATCATAATTACCGGATGATGCTTCTGAAACAATTATATTTGCTTCGGAATATTTAACTTTTACATTGTAAGCATTTTCTTTTTCTTGAGATCTCATTTGTACTTCTGATTAAAAGTTTATCAGACAGATATCTGTAATTTCAAAGACGACTAATCAGTCAGGATAATGTGCTCCTTTTGTTTTCCGCCAGTTACCAGTTGGACACCATATAATAAATCCATTCCCCTGATAAAGTCCATGAAGTCTAAGCCGACTACCCTTAACAGATATTAAATAAAACTGACAATAACTTTTCATCATATTCCATCTGTGTTGCAAAAATTCCCTGACCACAGCGTAGGTGTTAATGTTTTGCCGTAATTTAATCCTACATTAAGATATTATGGTTGGATTTCGCGAAAGGAGATAATAGATTAATAAAGTTCGAAACAAGAATTAGTTTACCATTTCGAAGTGCATTGTACACCTCACCAACATAACTTTGACTTCGCGTGGGACGTGACTCTAAAAGAAAAGATTTATAAACAAAGCTTAGAACAATGTTAGAGTGACCAACTCGATTAAACATAGTTCAACTATAAACGAAACAAATTAGTTCAATTCTCAAATATCGACAAGATGTTTCATTTGATTTAAGCCTAAAAAATTACCATCACTATCCGAATCGCTTGAATTGTCACTTTCTGGTGCACTGTGCGGTTGCATGGCTTCTCGCATCTCTTCATCACCATGGTCTCCTTCTCTTCGTGTACTACGCTAAAACAGACTTTTAACATACCAATGGACTGTTACAATCATTGATCGAATGTTTGTGTTAACTGGAAAAAGAGAAGTGCTTTCCCTTTCGAGGAACTACTAAGAGCAAGAGTGCTTTACTATACAATGTGGCATAACTCTTGGTGTAACCATACAGCACAGATAAAATCGAGCATTGCCACAGAGCACTACTAGCTGAATTAAAAGAGTAATGAACATATTTATTTCAGAACAGAAAAGAGTAATGAACATATTTATTTCAGAACAGAAAATGACACAAAAACTACCTTTCGTTTTCGACCAAATTTCACTACAGCAAGATCATCCCCAGCAGTATTAACTGTTGACAAATCGATTTTTGAATTCAAAAACTTTTCTATCACCTACAAATCTTGTGCAAATTAAAATACTTATCAGAAATTATGACAAAGTTAGGAAGTTAGGGACAGAATTAATGAAGCCAATTAACGGCAGTTACGTTATTCTTTCACTTTTGTATCGTAAAACAAAACCAACATCAAGAGGATCATTGGTAATATTCTGCGCAATGACTGAAGTAGGTTTGATTATTCCAAGTCGTACAGGAGCAATCAAAGAATCAGCCATATTGCACAACTCATTTATCGAATAAATTCAGCAGAGTTTG